CATTCCTGCGGCCTCAAAAAATGACATATATGGTCACAGAATCAGCAGGGCAGATAAGGAGCACAGACAAGACCCAGGCGTGGGTAGGGAGAAGAGAGGAGAACTGTGGGCCCAGCTCCAGATCCTGAACACCTCTGAGCGATGTGACAGCCGCCTGCGCACATCACAGCAAAGACTCCATCCGGATGGCAAACCAGCAGCTCCCTACTTACTTACTTAGCAACAACCTAGCAACAACTACCCTGTTACCAGGGCAACCACACTGATTCAGCAGCAAAAGCTGTTTGAAGCTCCTGAGCCAAAACTGAGCCGCCAAACAGCCAGAAAACAAAACAAAACAAAACAAAACCTTATTTTTCTTCCTCTTTCTCTTCTCTGGCCTTATCTGCTACCCTTATTCACTGCTCACTACCAAAATACAAGTCCCTTACCACAAACACAGAGAAAGACGTTCTCTATTGTTTGGGAATGCATATCTCCCAGCGAGTGCTGCTGTACCCCTCGCCCCAGCTCCTCATTCCAAGCAGCCCTCAGTCTTGAGAAATCCACACGATTCAGCTATAAGCTCCTCCCCATACTCAACCAGGAAGCTGTGAGGGCTCCCCCAAAGGGGCCCCTGGCCAGGTAACAGGGACAGAATTTAGCTCACAGTAACCCTCCCCAGGCCTGAGCCTTCTCTCCATCCCTTCTGTTTGGTTACTGCCCAGGCACCAAGAGCTCCTTCAGCCCTGCCCACAGCAGTTCCAGAGAAGTCTTTCTGCACAGAGTGGGTGCTTGATGCAGTGAAAAAAACATGGGATGAGATACATGGAGAACTGGATTATAGTCCTGACTGAGTTGCAAAGATGCTGAGCAAGTCCTTTTCCTTTCTAGGCCTAAATTTCCTCATCTACAGAAGTGAAGGCTCCTCCCAGAAATATAATTCTCCAGCATTCTAAATTACTTGTGCTGAAGTGAACAGCGGGATTAGAAGGAACAGCTGGGAGTTGAAGTATGTGTGAGGGAGGGAGAGGGACACTCTCTAAAAGGGAGATGAGCTTGAACTCCACCTCTTCCAGTAACTCTTCTATTTTGTCAGTTCTTCCAGAACTGACCCCTCCCCCGCCCCATAAACTCCTTTTCCAGCCCAACTAATCACAGTTGTTTCCACCTCCCAGCCAGCCTAGCCTCCCTCACTACCCTCCAACCCACAGCTGTTGCCCTCTGTGAGCCCAGAAGCTCACCTCCCACTCAGTGGGAGGGGGAGGGAAGCTACTGCAGGGCAATTCTAACATAAAGTAGTAGAAATGAAGCATCCTGGCTGCCTAAGACTCCTGTCACTTACAAGTCCTGCTCCACTCTGCAAAATAATCCTTATTGTCAGTTTAGTTTTTCCCTTCTCAGTTGGTAAAATCTCTACCTTTACAATAATCTTCAAGAATCACTTTAGGCAGGAGTGATTAGGCAGGAGACCTTTGGGAAGTCCTAGAGCTCTCTGAAATTCTGGAGAAATTTATGGACTTTTTCCCTAAGAAAAATCAGCACATGCATGAAATCTTGCATGAAATTTTAAGGGGTTCACAGGCCCTCTTTCCCGTTTAAGAAACCCTGCCTACTCAAAATTACATCTGGCACAGAGTTGATGCTCAGTCATTTGCTGAATGACTGAACAAATCAATTTGTATCCTAAGAGGAAAAGGGAACCAGCCACCATGAACTGGATACAAATTATCTTTTCACAACAGCACCAGTGAGGTATGTATTACTAAACCCATTTTACAGTTTGAGAAACCGAGGACCAGAAAAAGTAAGCAAGTTGCTTAGAGTCATACAGCAAGGTCAAGATTTTGATCCATGTCTACCTTAAGGTGGTCGCTTTGTGCAGGTCAATCCCTCAATACTTCTCTAATGGACTGTCATTCAAGAGATTCTCAAAGTTCTGCAAAAGGGCAAAATAAAGCTTCTCTTTTAATCTCCTCCGTGGACAACTGAAATAACAACTTAAAATCGCATTCTCTGGCCTGGGGATTGCCCTCCTAGTTGGGGGCTCCAGAATTGTGAAAATGCAAATCCCACAATACAACAGCAAAACTTTTAACTACAATCACATTTGCATAGGGCTTCATGGTTTACAAAACCCGGATTGGGTGTAATTATCCCATTTCACAGATTAAGAAATAGATATGAAAGTGTGGCCTAATAAGTGGCAAAGGTGGAATACTTCCCCCAAATATCTTGGTCTTAGTTCTTCCCCAGATCGGACCAGGGAGACTTCCCCTTCCCACGAGCTTGCTCAATAACAGCGAGCGAGGAGGCCAGGAAGAAGGCAGCAAGGAAGCAAAGTCCTCTCACTTCAGACCCTCGAGGCGGGCCGAATCCCCACAGCAGGAAGGCCAGGTTCCCAGGCCCCATTCCACCCTTGCTCCCTTCCTCGGTTCCGGTCGGATCCTCCCCATCCGGATCCCATCCCTTCAGAAGACCAGGCCAGTCCCTTTCCTTCCCCCACCACCTCCTAGGGAGACCCCGCGCCCCGCAGCTCACCGTGGTGGGGTACCGCTCCCTCTGCCACGCCTGTCAAGGACAGGCAAACATCCGGCTACGCGGTCGCATGGGAACCACCCCCTCCCTGTCGCTTCACTCCTCAGCCACTTCCGCCACACCTCCGACACACTTCCGACCCACTGCCCGGTCCAAACATGGCCTTCGCAGGAGCCCCGCCCACTTCCTTACGAGCCCGCTTACGTGCCCGCCTGGAGGAGTGACAGTATAACCGTCCGACTCGTCCCTCCCAAAAGGAAGCCATTGAAACAATTAGTTCCTCTCTACTGGATACTCAAATCCCTAGTGGACCTCCGGAATTCTAAACTCGTATTGTTCTCGGACAGAGATTTGCCTCACCACTGCTGCCAAACTCCCAGTTCTGCGCACCAATGAGGTCTGACTCTTACGATTCCTTCCGGAAAGGAAATTTGGCAGTCAATGACTATTTCCGGGGGGAGCTGAGAAAGTGAGTCTCACTTCCGGCGGAGGGGGGCTTTCTGACCCGGGATGGAGGAGCTGCCCTTGGAGTGGGAGAGACTGCAGTTCGGTGAGTGACCTGCGATGTCTCCGACCCTCGGCTGTGGCCTAGATACTCCTGACGTTCTCTGGTCACCTCTTTCCCCCCACGACCCTTTTCCTCCCGAGCCTGGCATCCTCCTCCGGTGCCCTCAGAACCTCTGGGAGCTTCTTAAGAGCCCTCGAACCGCCTCAAACCTTTCCGGGGCCCCCTTGGAGCCCTTACATATCCCTCAGACTCCTGAGGCCTAGCTGGACTTCGGGTTTTCTCCCTCACCTTTCCCCACCCCACGACCCCTTGGGCCGCTTCCTCACTGTCTTTCTCTGTCCCTGCAGCCCCCGATCCACGCCTGGGCCCGGACTCAGGATGGAGCCCTTCCAGAGAAGGCTGTGCGCAGGGACTCAAAGACTACTCGCCCGGACCTACCCGAGCCATCCTCGCTCTAAAGAGCCTCCCGCGGGGCTTGGCCCTTGGCCCCTCACTCATCAAGGAGCAGCGCTTGGGGGTCTGGTGTGTTGGGGAACCCTTGCAGCCAGGACTGCTCTGGGGGCCACTGGAAGAGGAGTCTGTCTCCGAGCAGAAGGGCCATGGAGTGAAAACAAAGCAGAAGGAGGTATTGAGAGATAGGGCTTTACCTCTCCGTGACTGAAAATTTTCATCAGACGTTTCTCGATAACTCTCCAGTTTGTTAGAAGTTGCAGGGTGTTTCAAGAGATAGGAGCTGGTTTATGCTCTCTCTCTCAGGGACTGTCTCATCCCCTCACTTGCGGTAGCTGAGGAGGTGCAAAAAGTTATTAAAAGGTGGATTAGTAGATGGGACTTCCCTGGGTCCAGTGGTTAAGACTCCAGCGCTTCCACCGCAAGGGGCGCGGGTTCGATCCCTGGTTGGGGAACTAAGATCCCACAGGCCGCACAGCGCAGCCAAAATGTAAAACAAAAAAAGTTGGATTAGTAGAGTGTCAGCAATGACGACGAAAGTCAAGAGCAAAGGTTTTGGGAATTAAAAAGCTATGGGGGGACTTCCCTGGTGGCACAGTGGTTAAGAACCCCCCTGCAATGCAGGGCGCAGCCAAAATGTAAAACAAAAAAAGTTGGATTAGTAGAGTGTCAGCAATGACGACGAAAGTCAAGAGCAAAGGTTTTGGGAATTAAAAAGCTATGGGGGGACTTCCCTGGTGGCACAGTGGTTAAGAATCCACCTGCCAATGCAGGGGACACGGGTTTGATCCCTGGCCTGAGAAGATCACACTTGCCGTGGAGCAACTAAGCCCATGCACCGCAACTACTGAGCCTGTGCTCTGGAGCTGGCGAGCCACAACTACTGAGCCCACATGCCTAGAGCCCGTGCTCCACGGCAAGAGAAGCCACCGCAATGAGAAGCCCACGCACCGCAACGAAGAGTAGCCCCTGCTCGCAGCAACTAAAGTCAGTGCGCAGCAAGGAAGACCCAATGCAGCCAAACATAAATAAATAAAATAAATAAATTTATTAAAAAAAAAAAAAGCCATGGGATCAAATCCCAGCTTTGTCACATAGCTAGTTAGATGGCATGCCTCATTTAATTCATATGTAAAATAAAGGAATGGCTGTTTCCTTTATTTTAATTCTCCAGGATTATTTGGAGCAAAAGATGAAAAAGCACAGGTAAAGGATTTCATTGCATAAGTCCTGAAAAACAAATTTAAAGTTGATGTACCTCTTACTACTTTTTCTGTTTGGTATTCACTGAAAGGCAATAATATGTTCAATTCAGTAATTCACCACATTTTGGGAGGGAGGTGAGGGGACAGTTTTTTTGGCCTTTATTGAATGAAAACTCGAACGGCATAGTCCTATAGAGGCAGACCAGAGACCATTAACCTTCTAGGGGCTTCATCTTAGACCTGTCTCAGGAGAGGTTACATCAGGGTTTTTTTTGTTGTTTGTTTCATCCTGGTCCCCTCAAACACATGGGAGAAAGACTTTTATTGGTTTATTTCAGGACGTGTCACTAGGCCCATGGGGAGATGTGTGTGCTTGTGAGCAGAGTTCAGGCTGGACTAGGTAAGTTACAGGAGAGTATGTAGTGAAGATGCTCCTTTGAGGCTTTCTGTTATGGCATGGGATGGAACCGGAAGCTGACTTCTGGTTCCCACCCAGGGATCTTTGCAGTGAGTGTTCCAAAGGCATGGGATCCTTTAGGACTCAGACTGCCCAGGAGCTGGGGCTTTCAGGGAGGGCCACTTGAAGAGGATCTCCTGAGCTAACTCTTGCTCTGCTTTGCAGTTTGGTGCAGCGGGGAAGGCTGGAGGGTGAGGGAAACGTGGCCCCAGTGCGGATCAGCGAGAGGCTCCACCTGCAGGTGTACCGGGTCGTGCTGCCAGGTTTTGAGCTGCTGATGTGGCCCCAGCCTCCCTCGGAGGGCCTGAGCCCCACCCAGCCCAGGCTAGAGGAAGAGGCATCCTTGGCTGTGGTGACAGAAGTGGAGTCTCCTGTACAACAGGAAGTGGCCTCCCCCAGGGAGGATGCAGCAGAACCTTGCACAGGTATGTGTCAAATAAGTGCTGGCTTCCCCAGTTATCACCAAAAAAACCTGTTGATAAGATAAAGCAAAGCTTATGACGTAAGACAGTAGGGGAGAACAGTAGCATTTCTGAGAGGGAAGGGCAAAGCCTGGATATTTATCGAAATTTTTCAGTTTGGTATAAGGTGGATTTTTCAGTGTGGGATGGGGTCGGGGCTCGATCAGTTTTGGGTAAGGATCATGACATAGTAGTTTAGGATTTGTGGAGACAGCAAGGCTAGAATTTTCAGGTAAGAGGTGCAAAGAGTTTGGGGATGTAAACTATCATTTGATGCTTTTTATTAAAGAGTGACAGGTCTTTTCCTTGGAATGAACAATATAGTTGACTCTTGAACAACACGGGGGTTAGGGGCACTGATCCTCTGGGCAGTTGAAAATCTGAGTATAACTTATGGTTGACCCTCCATATCCAAGGTTTCACATCTGTGGTTTTGCATCTGTGGATTCAACCATGTAATGCTGTGGTATTTACTGTTGAAAAAAAAATCCTCGTATAAGTGGATCCGTGCAGTTCAAACCTGTGTTTTTCAAGGGTCAACTGTATAGATATTTGCAAGTTTTATCTTCCTGAGTTAAGTTTTCTGGAATAGTAAGGTCACACTGACAAACACAGCAAGTTGTGTATAAGGTTTCCAGTTTTCTTACGTTTTTTCTGTCTGGGCTGGGGATGGGGATTCCTTTATTTTCACATGACCTAAAGTGAGGAGGTGGTGGTCTCAACTCATCCTAAGTCATGTCTCCAGAGGGAGAACAAGGGCACTCTGGGGTGGCTTTTCTCTAGAAATTATCTAGATGTCTAGACACTATGGTTCCCAGGAGAGCCTCCCCAGAAGGCACCTGAGACTGGACAGAAAGATAAACAGAGTGTGTGACTCATGTTCCAGGGAAGAGATTGGTGTCATTGCTCCCATTGCAGTTTATGGGCTGAGGAGAAGACACATATTCCTATAATTTCCTAGTGAGACCATCGTGACCCCCTGCTACAGTCTCAACTAAGCCCAGCACCCCACTCTTGCCTTGCAGATCCTGGTCACCAGTCACAGCCCCGCATCCAGGCGGTGAGCCCTGGACTTAAGCCCCGAATCCAGGACCAAGTTTCCAAGGAGAGCCAGCCACTCAGCCCATTGCCTCAGGATGGCTGTGTAGATGAGGAGAACCCACCCCAGACCCAGATGCCACCTGAACCTCAGAGCAGCTCCACTCCCCAGCAGGGCCCTGAGAGCAATGAGGCCAGTTCCTCATCTTCTGCCAGGGGCCCCCAGCTGCGTGCTTACCTAGTCAAGAAGTTGCATAGCCCCAGTGATCAACAGCCACCCAGACCGAAGACCTCAGAGCCCGGGGCCCAGCAGAGTGGAGAGCAGCAGCACCCTGGCTTCCCCTCATGCTTGCGGAGCGCCCCTGACCCGGTGGGAGGCTCCCCGAAGCGGGGGCGACGGTACCGCTGTGCCGAGTGTGGCAAGGCCTTCCTGCAGCTGTGCCACTTGAAGAAGCATGCGTTCGTGCACACGGGCCACAAGCCCTTCCTTTGCACCGAGTGCGGCAAGAGCTACAGCTCAGAGGAGAGCTTCAAAGCCCACATGCTGGGCCACCGTGGGGTGCGGCCATTCCCCTGCCCTCAGTGCACAAAGGCCTACGGCACCCGGCGAGACCTCAGAGAGCACCAGGTTGTACACTCAGGTGCCCGGCCCTTTGCTTGCGACCAGTGTGGCAAGGCCTTTGCCCGCCGGCCCTCCCTGCGGCTGCATCGCAAGACACACCAGGTGCCAGCGACCCCTGCCCCGTGCCCGTGCCCTGTGTGCGGGCGGCCCCTGGCCAACCAGGGCTCCCTGCGGAACCACATGCGGCTCCACACGGGGGAGAAGCCCTTCCTGTGCCCACACTGCGGCCGGGCGTTCCGCCAGCGGGGCAGCCTGCGCGGGCACCTGCGGCTGCACACAGGGGAGCGCCCTTACCGCTGCCCACACTGCGCTGACGCCTTCCCCCAGCTGCCTGAACTGCGGCGCCACCTCATCTCCCACACCGGGGAGGCCCACCTGTGCCCTGTGTGTGGGAAGGCCCTCCGGGATCCCCACACACTGCGCGCGCATGAGCGCTTGCACTCAGGTGAGAGGCCCTTCCCCTGCCCCCAGTGCGGCCGTGCTTACACACTGGCGACCAAGCTGAGGCGCCACCTCAAATCCCACCTGGCCGACAAGCCCTACCGCTGCCCCGCCTGTGGCATGGGCTACACTCTCCTCCAAAGCCTCAAGCGGCACCAGCTCAGTCATCAGCCCGGGGCACCCCCCAGCCCACCCTGTGTGCCGCCTGCCGCTTCTGAGCCCACCGTGGTGCTCCTGCAGACCGAGCCAGAACTACTGGACACATGCAGTGAACGGGGCGGGTCCCCAGCCCCGGACGTCTTCGAGGTCACCCTTTCCGAGAGCCAGGATAAGTGCTTTGTGGTGCCCGAGGAGCCAGGTCCTGCTCCCAGCCTGGTGCTCATCCATAAGGACATGGGATTTAGCACCTGGGCAGAAGTGGTAGAGGTGGAGACGGGCACCTGACCACCCTCACCTTCCCTTAGCAGAGCTCTGTATAAAGACTGGTGTTTCTGAGCTTCGTGTCTGCATCTTTCTCTTTGGGTTCCCTGATAGAGACTAGTCTCTGAGAAGCAGGTCAAGGACTTCCCTTCTTGCTTATGGACGACCACTTTGTTTCCCAAGACTCTTAATAAGGTAAACCACTTCTAGATGTAAGATCTTTTTATCAGCTTCCAGTAGAGCTTGTCCTGCCACCCTCCCTGGGAACTCCTCAAGGTGCTTGTTCTTTAAACGTTTTGGAAGTGACCCTGCCCAGTGAGGTAGCCAGGTCACAGGCAGCACTATTGTCCTGCTGGGGTGCTTAGTGCTGGAATAGTCACTCCCGTCCAGCTCCCTGAAGGACAAGCATTTCTATTTGGAACCAAACGGAATGACTTGTGAAGGTTAAAAGGCCAGAGACACTCAGCTGACAAGTCTGTAAGTCAGGCATTAGATTATTTTGGCAGCTTTTCTCACCACCGAAGGCCTGTGAGGTTGGTTTTTGTTCTGTGCTGAAGGACACCAGACTCATTGGAGGTGGTTAGGGCAGGTCTGCACCCTTCTTTGTATCTGGCCAAAGGCAGCCCCGTTGAGGGAAAGAGCGAGGAATGAACATGTGTTTCATGTTTCATCAGCTGCGGGCGTGGCCTGCCCGAGGTGCTGGGGACGCAGCTGTGGACAAGACAGAGGCAGCGCCCTTTACAGAGCTCAGGTCTACGAAGGGCAAAGAGCAACAGTAAGAGTTTAAAGAGGAGCACTCCCCAGTGCTGTGGGTGTGTTTAGAGGGATGGATTCACTTGTGGGCATCAGGGAAGGTGTCCCCAAGAAATTATAATGATAATAAACAGCATTTGTTGTGGGCCAGTCCTTTATGTGAGTTTATTTCTGTAATCCTATAGCAATCCTGTGAGATAGTTATGAGGACAGTCAGGAACAAAGAGCTGTAAGTGTCCTGCCCAAGGTGACAGAGCTACTAGGTGGCAGAGCTGAGATTCAAATCCACATAGTTTAGCACTGGAGTAAGGCTCTTAACCTCCACACTCTAGTGTCCCGCATTTCAGCTGTGACTTGTTGGATGAGGAGGTGTGGGGGAAGGTGGGGATGTGAGGGGCTGCATGCGAAAAAGCCCCATGGTGAGACCCTGGGTGTGAGCCCTGAGACCAGCATGGCTGGAGCAGAGAATGAGGGGAGGGGGGCAGGGTCAGGTCACACAGGCCTTGCTTCAAGAGTTTGGACTTTATTCTCAGGACACTGAGGGGCTCTTTGAAGGGTTTTGAGCAGGAGAATGATATCAGATTCATGATTGAAGAGACCACTGGAGAGGATTAGTGGGCAAGGTGCAGTTGTGGGGAAATCAATTAGGTGGCTGGGAATGGAAATGCAGTCATTCACCCAACAAATACTGAGCACTTCCCGCGTGCTGGTTGTTAGGGGTATAGCAGTAATAACAGTCTCTGCTCTCATGTAGTTACGTTCTGGTGTGGCAAGAGCCAATAAACACATGTCAGATGATGGTAAATGCAGTGAAGAAAAGTAATGCAGTGGAGAGTTTGAATGGGGAGTGTGATTTTACAGAGGGCGGTCAGGGAAGGCCTCCAGTAACGTGACAGAGACCTGAACTACGGAGAGGAGTGAGCCAGGCTGATGTCTGCAGAAGGAGTTGGATTCCAGTCAGAGGAAACAGTACCAGCAGAGCCCAGCGAGTTCAAGCAAGAGCAAGGAGCAGAGCAGCCAGGGCGGAGCGTGGAAGGAGGTGAGGGCAGGGGCTGTAGGCTGTGGGGAGGGCTTTGGGTGGACATGTTCTCTGAGAGGTAGAAGTGACCAAAGTCAAAGACTGAGGGAGAGAGGAAGATCTGACTCCTGCTTTCTGACTTAGCAAGTTAGGTAGCCGTGGGGGGGCGGGGGTGGGGACAGCTATGATTTTGGCTGTGGATGGTTTGAGTCGAGGTGCCTGTGGGAGAGATCTTAAGAAGGCAGTGGGAAATGGGCACAACCTGTGGGGAGAGGGGAGGCTCCTCAGGAGAGACTAAGCATCTGATGAAACAGGAGAACCTGCAACGTGTAAGTCGCAGAAGCTGATGGAAGAGCATCTCAACAAGGAAGAGGTCAACGATGTCCTTTGCTGTTGAGAAGGTTGAAATTTGCCAGTCGCTGGTGAGCTGAGTGAGGGCAGTTGGGAGCCAGACTGCATTGCTTTGAGGAGGGGAAGCAAGATAGACAGGGGAACTTACATTCTTGTTCCATCCTCCTGTCCTGCAAATTGGGTGTTGTGCCACGTGTTTCACAGATGGGGAAACAGGTTCAGAGCGGATTGGTAACTGCCGAGACCGCACAATCAGTAAACGGCAGAGCCAGGATTGCGACATGTCGTGTCCTCTGGCTTCCCAGCACTCAATCTCCGTGTCATAAGCAGCCCCATGTCTTCTGCTTTGCACTGACTTTAACCCATCCACCCACCCATTGTGAATAACTTCTTGGCAAAACGTCATTCTGAAACTGTCCAAGGAGAGGGAGGACAGCAAGAGATGGTGACCATCTGTGGAGAGAAAGACCACACCATCCAAAGCCTGAAAAACAGCTGCTAATACTAGTTTTGAGTCCGCCAACCCCCTGACTCAGCCTGGTAGGTCCTACTCTTTTCCAGCTCCAGCTTCAGGCGGGTCATTCCAACTCAGGTAACCTCTCAGCTGTGTCTGCCCAGCGTTGTTAGCTAACTTGGGGACATACCCATCGCTTGATACTGAGCAGTGCAGGGAAGTGGGGATGCTTTGGGTTGCTGGGGAGACCTGCCGACACCCCACAACTGTCCTCAGACCAAAACCTGGGATGTTTACCCCCCTTTGTCACATCCCCACACAGATGAAGGACTTTCCTCTCCACTGAGACTGTCCCTGGTGATGCAGAGCAGTGTCAGATCAAGGCCAACAAATTCAAAGCCACCAGGTTTGAGCACGTCTGCTCAGCCAGCGCTCATGGCTGAAGTGGGAATGGGCATCAGAGAGCATTGTCCAACTTCCTCACATTACAGATGAGAAAATGGAGGCTGAGAGAGAAGTCACCTTCTAAGGCATGAGACCAGTGAGTAGCAGAACCGGGATAGGGCCCAGGTCTTCTGAAACCCACTTTAGTGCCCTTCCAATGAAAATAAAGTGCAATGACAGTTCTTGGAAAGACTGATCACTGGAATATTTTTTTCATTGAGAAAATATCTCCCCCCAATGAAAATAATTCTTGTGTCATTATAATGTTGAAAGTCCCTTTATTCCGTACTCCTTTTTTCCATCCCCTGATAAAGTCACTTTGAACTGTTTGGTGTATATAGCACTGAATTTGAATGCTGCTTCTTGCTATAGAGCAAAGTTGCAGTGAAAATGTTGCTGGACACCTTTTCACAGATGCAAATTTTTTTTTAATTGGAGTATAATTGCTTTACAATGTTGTGTTAGTTTCTGCTGCACAGTGAAGTGAATCAGCCATACGCATACACACATCCCCTCCCTCTTGGACCTCCCTCCCGCACCCCATCCCACCCAACCAGGCCATCACAGAGCACCGAGCTGAGCTCACTGTGCTGTACAGCAGGTTCCCATTAGCTATCTGTTTTACACATGGTAGTGTATTTATGTCAAACGTAATCTCCCAATTCATCCCACCCTCCCTTTCCCCCACTGTGTCCACACGTCCGTTCTCTACGTCTGCCTTTCTATTCCTGCCCTGCATATAGGTTCATCTGTACCATTTTTCTAGATTCCACATATATGCATTAATATACGATATTTGTTTTTCTCTTTCTGACTTACTTCACACAGATGCAAATTTAAATTCACAGGGTGAGGGGACTTCCCTGGCGGTCCAGTGGTTAAGACTCCATGCTTCTATTGCAGGGGGCACAGATTCAATCCCTGTTCGGGGAACTAAGATCCTGCATGCTGCATGGCGAGGCCCAAAACAAACAAACAAAAAAAGCCATGCAGTGTGTGTGTGTAGCTGCTGAGCCAAACGTCAGAAAGTGCAGGAGATAAAGAATCTTTTATCCTGATTTGCAGCTTTAATAGTGTGAAAAAAAAACCTTACAATAGAATAAAATTTGATTCATGTTTAGAGACCTTTAAACAATGCAGAGCATCATGGACTAGACAAGTTCAGGTGTGGATCATGGCTCTGCCCTTAACTAGCTGCACAAACTCAGGCAAGTTACTTCTCCATGCCTCAGTTTCCTCATCCATAAAATGGGGATAGCTGTAGTACGTACCTCATCAGTGCTACATACCTGGCACATGGTGAGCAATTAATAAATTGTAGCTGGTTATTAATAGTATTGGAATCAGCCCTCTTAACCTGGAAGACAAGCAAGATTGAGGTACATCTTGCCTATAGGTAGTGCTTGTTTGGTCAGGTCAGCATCACTCACAATAGTTTTGTACTTTGGGTGCATGTCCTCTGGGTATACGGTAGTCCCCCTTGCAGTGATGGCCTGGGAGGCAGGAGTCGAGTCCTGGCCTTCGCCCAACTCTCTGTATGACCTTGACCAATTAGCTTCCCAGCTCAGAGGCTCCATTTCCTCACAGTGACATGGGGAAATTGGACCAGATCAGTGGATCCCAATCTCAGCTCCACCGTGAAGCCCTTTTGGTAACTTTTTTTTTCTTCTGTGGGTCTTGTATTTAAAAAAAATTTTTTATTAACTAGAAACTCATATTTTTGAGTCAAAATAGAAAACTGCTGATCAGATTGAGGAAGAAATAAGGTAATTAACCATCTAAAAAGACATAATTTCAGCCAAAAGGGAAAAAATTATTTTTGTCTTAAGATAAATTTACAATTTTTGAGTTCGTTTTTTTTTTAATATGCAAAAGGACAAGGCCACCCTGTAGTACATGCACAGAGCCCTAGGCTTCAGAATATCTGGATTGGGACTTCCCTGGCAGTCCATTGGTTAAGACTCCGCGCTTCCACCGCAGGGGGCACAGGTTCAATCCCTGGTCTGGGAACTAAGATCCTGCATGCTGCGTGGCGTGGCCAAAAAAGAAAAAAAAAAAAAAACCCAGAACGTCTGGATTTAATAATATCTGATCTCCTTTCCAGCTCTGAAATTCTGTAACTCTATGTCCTGGAACATAATTCAACTGTTTTCAGTGATTATAGAGCTTCGCTTTACAGTATAATGCTGGCTTCACCCGTGATTTTGTTTGATGCCAACTTGTTGGGCAGAAATGCAACCCCTCATTATGGCCTTGTTCTCAGAGGGAAGTAGGATCTGTTTTAAGGGTGCAGGTATGTGTTTGTGTTGA